CCTTTATGGAAGAATCATCCAGTTTGTCGTGCTTACCATTCGTGTTGTTGTTGTTGTTGGCGATTCTTTGCTGACGCGATGATCTCGTGGGTGCACTCGTGATGTTGCTAGTAGGGGAAGTTGTTGGATGAGATGACGGCGTTGGGGTGGGAATTGACTCTGCTTTCCAAAACTCGCTACTACCAGCGTCTTGGTTACTGGAATCCAGGCCCTTGTCCCAAAATGTTTCGTCCACCGAAACAGCTCGTTTTACGGGAGCATTCCCTGGCGACAAGGCATATCGTGATACCACGGCCGTTCGCGGAGCCCCATCGGTGTGAGCCCGTCTAAAATTGGGGAATGATTCTTCCTGTCGTGCGGATGATCGAGTGCCAGGTTCGGATGAATCTGTCATGAATTTGGAAGACTCGGAGGAAAACACGGCCACTTCATTATTCCCCGAGTGATCTTGTTCGGAACTATCAAAGTCAAATGGTTTGACACTGTCTATTGTATAACTGGGTGCACTCCTGGCACTGCCATCCATGATATCGGACAAGTCACTCGCATCCATAAACAAACTTCCGTTGGGTGTCATTTTTCGTTCCAACATCAAGGCACATCGTTGAAGGGTCATGAGGACCCCCGGGTCGAGCTGACTCCCCCGTCGTTGTTTTCCCTTGCGTGTCGATAGTTGGGCCCCTTGCATACCTTTCGAGGGTCCCTCGATCATACTATCTTCTTCGGTAATATTCAGAGACTGCTTGTCGTAATGCAAATGAATCTTGACAATTTCCTTGACCGTCAAGGTATCGGGATCAATCAATTTTTCAAATTCTTCCGGAACACGTCGTTCGTTTCGTCGGAGCGCTCCCCCGAATTCGACCCGTGTGACCGTATCGTCTTGTTGAATGGCTTGCAAGAGTTGTAAAATGGTGGGCGCTTCGAGCAGTGTGTGAATTTCAATTTTGGCATTGAACCGAATGGGCAAATCGTTTTGGAAGCCCTTCATGCGAAGAAACCGGGTCAACGAGGCGACAAACTCTCGCTTTTGATCTAGATAGGCTTGATAACTGTCTCCGTCGCTGATGCAGTCCACAAACAGAATGCTTTTCCAAACCCGCTTTTGGATCATGGATTGCTGCTGTTTTGATTTCTTGCGGCTAAAACTGCCCGTCAATGAACTTCCCGTGCTCGATCTCATAAAGGTTGAAGAGGATGTCGTGGAAGAAGTATTGGAGGATCCTCGTAACTCGGTAGATTGTTTTAACTCGGTAGATTGTTGTTCTTGTTCCTGTTGTGCATCCAACGATTCACTTTGCGTGGTATTGACAAACAAATCGAGAACGGCCTTGGTAAGGCGTGCATTGTTGCGTTCAATTAAATCTTCCAAAACAATCGTGTCGACGTGGATATCAATGGCCACGGCATCGATGCTGTCCCGGACGTAATCCTCGGAATACATGTCGCTGCAATACAGCTGGGCATCGTTGGGGGGTGGGGAGTTTGGTCGGGATTCCATGGTCCGATTGCGACGGAGTGATCGAGACTTGTTGCGCAATGGAGATCGATTCCTGCGATCTCGGCGAGGCGACATGCCATCTCCACTCAGTGTTCTCAATAGTTTGCTGATGAGATCAGAAAGAGAGAGAAGGAAACATAAAATTAGGAGGGGTATCCAGTTTCAAATCATGATCCAGGCTGTAGCTAACTACCGGTAGCAATACACTTACCCCACGGACTTCATGGTGAGAGCACTACTTGGTGGTCTGTAGTTGTGGCAAGCACAAAAATTGGTATGGGAGGTAGCGATTTTTGGTTGGGTATGGGCTTGCAATGGCGAGAGGTATAAACTACTCGAGCTTCTCTTCGTGGTTGATCTGCTTCCAAGGGTGGGTGGATAATGAAGAATGGAATCCGGTATGTAGTATCCGGCTACCCTGCTGAGACCAGAATGGTTGTTGCAGGAACTGAGCAGGATGTGTTGGTTGTCTGAGCTCTCAGAGAGATCTTTCGAGATGCATGGTCGACTGTGGTCTGTGGCGACCAGTGGCAGAGTTGTGAGAAAGTGGAGAAGTGTGACTTTGATAATGACCGGTACCACAGCAACTTAGGATATCTTTCTGTTGAGGTGCTTTCGCGGCAATAACGACTGTGAAAGTATAGTGCGGAGCGGACTTATGTACTGGTACGACGGGACGACGGGCTCTGAACGGATTTGGGCTCGACGAAAACGACACAACGACACATACCGTGCATTCTTACAGGCATTCTCACTGCTCGAGCTTCCTGGATCTTTGAAGCCTTTCTGCAACAGAGAGCTCTGTAGTACCGGTAGGACCTAGTAGCTAGCTAGCCTCCTCTCTCTACCACCCAGCTAGCTACTGGTAGACCATCCTTATGCTATGACACAGGAAGAAGTGTTGCTGATTTTGATTAGTTTGGTGAAAGTGTTTGTCTACTGAGTACATGCTTTCCAGTTGTCCTAGCTTGCTAAACACTCTCAAAACAGAATTTCATAAATGGACAGCTACCGTGGTGACTAGCTAAGGGTTGCCCTGGGAATCGCAAGCAGTCCATGTCAAGTTTCTGGTCCTTCTTGCTTTCACTGCCTCCGTTATTAGAACATATCAGTCAAACCCCAGATCTTTCAAGAGCTTCTCAGTAGCCTCCCAAAGCTGATCCGGAACGTCCTTCCCGGCTGCCTCCATCACCTTCTCCAAAGCCGTTTTGTCGGCTTGGCAGTTGTCGTGATATTCTCCATTGACAACCTTTTCGGGATCATTCGACGTGGCACACAACAGGGTGGTGGCAGCTCCCTGTGGGACGCTCTTGAAGAAAAAGGGCGCCACAACGGAAAACTGCAACCTGGTATACCAATCCACATTACCCTGGAGACCCGTAAAAATACCTCCAGGCTGAACCGAGTACGCAGTCACATTGTCAATCTTGGTACTCAATGCTTTGGCATTCAGCAGGTTGGATGCCTTGGCGTTCCCGTAGGCAACCCATCCATCGTAAGGATCCGTTTCCAATTTGGGAGAGGAGAGGCACTTTTTGATGTCATGATTGGCATGACCGGAACTACTCAAACAGACAATCCGCCCCTGGGCCTTTTGGATGGCGGGTAGCAAGAGTTTGGTGAGATAAAAGTGACCGACATGGCAGACACCGACCTGACTTTCCAATCCTTGCTTGGTATCGGTTCGAGTGGGTAGCGCCATGATGCCGGCATTGTTGATTACAATGTCGATTGTATCCTGGGACGCCAACACAGTCTTGGCGCAATGCTTGACCGACTGCAAGTCACCCAAATCACACGTGACAATATCAATTTTGCAGGTGGACGGCAACTCGGCCAACAATTGCTTTTGCGTGGCATCCAACTTGGTTGGATTGCGAGCGGCCAGGTACACATGCGCTCCTCGTAATGCCAAGACTCGTGCCGTTTCGACGCCAATACCCGAAGTAGCGCCAGTGACCAGGGCCACCTTGCCGGTCAGATCCACAGATTCCGTCACGGCTTCACCAGTGGGAAAGGTTCTCGACGGTGCTCGAATATATGCCAGACCCAACAAGCTTCCCAGCACGGCCGTCGCCGTCAGTGCATGGCCCTTGGCGCAGGCAACTACCCACCCAGCGACACTGGCACCCGCCACTCCGGTAATGATATCCAAGGGACCAATCGATCGTCCCATTGTGCTATTGTGCTTGCTTCTATTGTATGGGTAACAGTAGCAACGGCCTTCGCTGGCAATTGAGTCTGCGAGCTTTCTCTACTGAATTACTCAATGAAGTCAATCTTTCTCTCTACTAGCTAGCTAGCTAGCTCTGCTGCTCCTTTGAACAACAAACTCCAGCAACAAGAAGGAGAGGAAGTCTGTACTCCTTTGAACAACAAACTCCAGCAACAAGAAGGAGAGTCTGAGAAGGGGAAGTGTGGAGAGCATCTGCAAGTAAGTTCTTTGCGATTGGATCTTTTGAATGGATCTTTTGAATTTCAGCCTGTAGAAATGCAATGCACTGCTCGCACCCCAGTTCCAGGAACATCTCAGAGAACCAAACACTTCCTTTCCCATTTCCCAAACATCAACGCTGAGGGTAGTTACTAACAGTCAGATAAGGTTACGTGTTACGCGCACCAATAATGACTAAGACAGAATCAACAGATCGCGTAAGCAAGCCACTCTTAACACAATTCCAATTTACGTGTTACAGAACGACCATCACGGCTACTAGTTAAAATGCCCGTTATTGGTGTGTGCTGGCCATTGTGGTGGGCGGAGTCTTTATGGGTTGATCGCCCTGTGTTTTTTTGCACGAATGACATTTTT